TTTGGACTATAGACTATATTTTAAAACATCAACTGTCTGTCTACAACTTGATTTCTCACCTCTCAATCGCTTCCAATGCTGCTTTCTTTCCATGGCATGACTTATCATTGCTTCCCAGGTTCTTGTCGACCTTATGAATTCAGATTTAGACTAACCGACATTAGTAAAATTGATTATTTTCTTCTCTTTCACACAACCGTGCATTACAGAAACAGCCATTAATTTCTATTTCCAAATATGCTGTGGCCTATATAGTAGTATATATAAGTCTGCTGAATAGTCAAGAAGAGTCATTAGATTAATCATAAACATTTCATGCAAGCCAGAAATATCGTTGTTTGTGACATATTATTCTAGGTCTACTGGTCTAGCCTTCCTTGGAGTTACCGCACCGTACCTATTTAACAACGTCTTATGAGCTAGTGCTCAACTAAAATTGCTATTTATGGTAAGGATATACAAGTGTTTAATATCTTACTTATACTTTTCAACACCTCCTTAGAATAACTGAGAAAAAAAAACTATGGAAAGGCTACCCAACTCAACGCAAAAGCGAGCAGTAGTACATCTGATATTCATCCGACCACGGGGGATCCACCTACAGCTGACTAATTTGATCGTTACGTCATGCAGAGGTCTGCGTTAATTGGCCTATGATACCGGAAAAGCAGAGAAAATAGGACAGATGGTAACACACATATTTATTGTAGTAAAAGCGTCTTTTCTGTAAAACGTGCAACTTTTGGAAGTGGGAACAAGGCAATATTTGTTACTAAATTTCTAAGGAACATTTTAAAATCATTTTCAGGTAGTTACCTTATGTGCGCTACGAAACTGAAAGATAAATGGACTCGGCTCGCGGCCTATGACTATTTCTCCCATTTATAGGGTGGGGTATCATTACTCAAGGGTGCTATATTTAGTATATGTCCAAATTTTATTATTATGTTTATATGTATTATATTCCATGTTGTATTGTCTCTATTTATTGATGTTGTCTTGTCCTACCAACTCCTTTGTACAAACAGTTGGGCATACTCCACCCTTACCTCTATTGCCACCCATCCACCCTCCTTGCACAACTGCCTGTATGAAGGACCATATTATTATACTTATTTGCTTATCATAGGGGTGTATGCCGCACTTTCATGTGTTTTAGGCCAGTATGGTCTTGTGTATACATTCCCTCTTCAATGTTGATATTTACTAACTCCTGTGTTTTTGCTTTTACGAGACGAATAAACATACATAAGCCTACACACAATGGGAGTGAAAATGTCACGAGAAGTAGGTACCGTTTTTCTAAATTAGCAGTTTGAACAAATACAAAAACATAAACGGGCTTTGAGACAAACTAGTCGTGATGGACCTCGACCGGCTCGCTCTATCGCATCAGCACCGGTATGTTCCGCGATCTACCGTTGCTGAGATATTTTTGAGCAAGACCGATTGGACTTATTTTAGTTTAGTCGATTCCCTCAAAGATAGGGTTACCATATTTTTTCCGATTTTACTACATAGGCCTACATTTAAACCATCCCGGCTGTCTCAATTGACCCTTTTTTCATCGAAAGTTCATGCGCATATTCTCTGTCTAAATATCGGGTTCAGTTCGAAAACTAGACGCTAACGATACAAATGATCCGAATTTAGATTTTTTTATGTACAGCAAAAAGAATAATGAAATAGTCTGCCGTTTTCAAGCATTGATAATTTACTTATTCGCCCAAGCATGCTTTTCTGTAGAAACACCTTTGAAAAAACGTTATTCAATGTTACATTCACGTGAACGTCCAAACAGGACCAATATAGAATTGATTCTACATGTGATACGCTCGCTACTAATGTTAGCGAGAAACAACGAAACAAACAAAATAAGGCATTCACCTTCAGTAAGTACGCTAGCGTTGCGCTACACAGCAACGAGAACATGTTCGTGTATTATGCTTGGTGGCTGAACGCAAAAGCGGGACTTTTGGCTGACTTGTCGGGACGGCGGGACAAGACGCTAAAAAGCGGGACTGTCCCGTCTAAATCGGGACGTATGGTAAGCCTACTCAAAGATCATCCGCACAAACCCCTATTGCGGCACCGACCTGTGTGACTGCTCGATTTTTATGAAATGACCCACGTACCGTAGTCCAGGGGTTCTCAAACTTTTGGTGTTGCGGAGCCTTTGAAAGGTTGAATATTATTCGCGGAGCCCCAAAATAAATGTTAAAATTGTTCTTTTCAGATTAATATTCCTGAGCAAGTTAAAAGTACTTTACTTATTTTAAATGCTGAACCTTTTTTGGAAGGGTTAACACAAGCCATAAATAAATCTAAATTTTATACTAAAGCTTTAAATTTGACACTTGACGAACATATTAATAAATTAGGGGTCGAATCTTTTCTCTTCTGACATTTTTGGAAGACTTAAAAGGCCGCTAATAACGTGCTCAATTTCATTTTGTTACAATCGCCGATATTTTTTGTCAGCATGGCGTGTTTTAAACAAACATTTTTACGCCGGTGTTTATTCTCCCTAATTCAAAAATTTTCCCCGGCATATACACGTAATGTTACACAATGACGAGGTTAATTGCTTTTTTGTTCTCGTGGGGAATTATGAGTTCAATGTGAAAAACATGTTACCATATTATAGTCATCGGCGACGAAATGCTAAAAATAATAAATGATAAAGAGGTAAATCCGCAACTCAAATTTCTTGATTGAAAAACGGCATTCTAAAATTTAAAACTGAAACTTAAAATGGAAGACCACTCGTTTGGTTTCAGCAGACTCACCTCAGATTGAAAACGCTTTTATAGACATTGTAAATCACAAAATTTGGTGTTATGTTAGCTTTTCGTCGTAGTAACTGTGAAATCGAAACACAGTCAATTGTGCGCGCGATGTACCTATTTTCCCATTCTGAAACCACCGACGGAGCCTAATGCAATAAACTAATATTCAATTGTTCGTATTTTGCCCAGACATTGTGAGTGTGCAAAAGAACAAATCAAGTTTGACAAATCCCAAGATCGCAAAAATACGACTCCAATTTATTTCTAGTTGGCAGTTTATCACATATTTTATGTTATTTTAGAATAGTATTCTTTCATTTTAGTAATCCTGATAGTAATCTAGAATCAAACGTGAGTAACGATGAGCACAATTACATTATAACGAAGAGACACGTTAAATGCTCGCATCGGTCATGGATTGAATATTTTACGCAACAGAAATCTCGTTATCCGTTTTCATAATCGCGAAGAATGTTGCGCGGAAATTTCCAATCCCAATTTTGAACCTCCTCCCTCCTAAGAATCCTGGCTGCGCTCCTGCTTATAAATAATGTCATTTTTTAATCCCGCCTCTTTGCCATATTTCGAGGCAATATTGTTGTCAGATTTTATCAAAGCTGTTATTGCTTCATTGAACAGTTACAAAATTTTGAGTCAGTATTTTGAAGAGTAATCGAATAGCTCGCGGAGCCCCTGGGTTTCTCTCGCGGAGCCCTGGGGCTCCGTACGGAGCACTTTGAGAACCTATGCCGTAGTCGACTGACCTGCTTTAAGGTATTGTTTGGTGATCGGGCGACCTCGCATTTAATTATTTGACACGTTAATGGACCTATGGGTCGTTCCAATATTATGTTGTTGTTCTTGTTCTTTGACACGTTTTAGAACACCTAGTGGAAAATCTAAAAAGTCGATTTTCTCTTTGATTACTGGACCAATTGCTCTTAAATTTTCATTGGCTAAAGATAAAATTTTTCTTGAGAAGACTATTACTTCATTTATTTCAAATATTCCCGATAGCACTGTTCATTTTTTGACACGTAATGGATTTGTTTTTATGCTGGCACTCTTCTTGTTCTTTTGATCACGTGCTCATCGAACGTCGGTGGTGTTGGTGTGTAACGAAATGCTTGCTTTGCGAAGTCGTAGGTACCTGTAGCGTCAAAGGTAAGGGCTGCTTCGTTCTGATCGACGTGTTATTTTATTTGAGCGTTGCTCTCTTGATTTTAGGACAACCAAATCTGCGAACTCACACAGCGCAATTTCATTGCACAGCGTAATCCGCTCGCTGACAAACATAATGCTAACGCGTTACAGGATGTACTATTTTGGCCCCCTGCGTGGGGGATATTTATGTGCGAGAGCACCCGCGACCCCACAACGAGATAAGTACGGCAATTTTAAAAATCATTATATTCTATTTAATCATCCTAATGAGAACAATGTGCCTTCATATAGATTGTTAGTTTAAAGGACGTTGTTGTAAGCCCGCGTAACTGTTTAGTACAGCGGTTCCCAACCTTTTTAACCCGGGCGCGCCAGCAACATCAATTAAAATTAGCTCGCGGACCGGTCACAAAATATTGAAATGAATGAAACAGAAAAAAAAACAGTTGGCACAATACTTCAATGTGAACACAAAACACCAAAAACAGTTCAAACAACAAACCGTCGATTGGAATCAAATATTACCTTCACATTCACGTGGATAGTGAATATTTGCCAAAATTTAAAAATATACGAACGCGTTTGACAATGCTCCAGAAAACGGGGAATCCGCAGAAGATTTGATAACACATGACATCTTGTGAAGACCTCAATGTTGAAATCTCGAGATGCGGAATATTAACGAAACGCCAAGTTCTTTGGCGAAACATAGAAAGATTTAACAAAGCGTAGTAGGTTGCGAAGAAGCGTACGATACTTTGGGAAATAGTAAGATTGATTTCAAATATAGGTAAATTCAAAATCTTATTCTGTATATTCAAAATCTTATTCTGTATACTCAAACACTGTTTTTTGTTTTGTCCAATGTTAAAATGTTACAGATTGTTCCATAATCAGTTCATTCCTGTCAAAATCCCAACCACCTAATGAGGCACATTACTTTGTATAATTAAGTAATTACACTGGTAGCGAAACAACATACTTTATCGCAGACCGGCACCCAACCACTTCTAAAGCTATTCTGATGAAAAAAAAATAATACCACAATCAATTTCCTGCTAATATATTCAACTTAGCAATATATATTATAACATAAAATATATCAGCAAAATGAATCCTGTTTTGCATGTCAATAAAGAAAAACCTATGCAGCAAAGAACATTGTGCAGAAATTTGCCAACAATAATATACAAGACGTTTCAATATCATAGATCCAGCATCCAAAACTGATAAATTTGAATAGAGATGAGTATGTGTGTAACAGATTGTCGAATAATCAGATCCTAATTAAAATATTTAAAATTGTTTGTATGAAGTAGAAGTCAAAGTCCAGATTCTGTTGAAATTGACTTATTTTATTGTCAAAGCAAAATCGCACAACAATTCATACATATTGTTCAATCAAGTTATACCGAGTACATTATAATAATAAGTAGTAGTAATTGAAGCCAAAGGGTAGTTCAGTAAGGTTGCTCGACATTAAAAATAGCAGTAGATAAAAAGTTCATTCAATAATAATATTATTATAATCAGAATTAGTTACCAACGAGAAAAAAAATATAAGGAAAAGAAAAGAAGGTAAATAAATGTACATATTGCAAAATAAAGTAAAAAGGCAACCAGACCCGATTAAAACAATATCCTAATAAAATGAGAAAAATAAAACGAGACATGATATTTCAACAAGCTCCAGGTAGTGACGAAAATATTTGCAAGAAAAATTTTAGCTCGAAAAATAAAAAGGTTGTGTGACATCACATAAAATAATTAGGTAGATCTTCAAATTAAGATGATATTTTCAATATCAGAGTTTCAGTTGTAACTGAACCAAGCCAAAAATTATTCTGTATCTTTGAGAACGGGCTATTTTGGACTAAAATACCAAATAATCATTCACTCAATATCAAATGCCCCATTAAAAATGTTACTGGCAAATTAGATTCATCCCTCCATATTAAATAGACTTATGAACCGTCACTTATGAAAGTGATTGTGCAAGAATGCAACATAGGAGTTAAATCATATATGTGAAAATTTTAGGGGTCGAAGTAAGTTAAAGAGCTTTTTAAATCCTGATTTTGTGAACTGAACAATTGAAAATGATTATAAAAAAAACATCCAGTTGTGGTATTCAGATACTTTTTTTTTGTTCTCGCTCTCAGTAATCAAAACATGATAAAAGCAAATACATCAACAATAAAGAAAAGTTATAAATTGTTCGAAAATCGTCTTATAAAAATAAGCACAATATCTTGATCAGAACCAGAATAGCTTGAATAAAAGCACATTTTATGTGTCTGATATAGATTATAACAGTTTTATAAACCAGCTGGAGTATAAACAAATTCCTTCTAAATAAATTCAGTCAATTATTACCATTGAAAAATTACAAGAAGAAAAAAGATAAGCATGATTGTTGAAAGCGTTGAAAATAATTCTTCAGAGCCATTGCCAATAAAATAGGCTGGGCTCTGTGTTAAAAAGTGCAGATGAAAATATTCTAAATTGTGGTGTGTATGTGGTTTTGAATGAGCTTAAGACCAACTATGAAGAGCATGAATGAATAATCATTAGTACTCATTTTAAATTCGAATCTGATGTACAATTAATTTTGACATGCACATCCGACTTCGTTCATATGGTGCATGGTTTCGATTATTAGCAAAAACTTGCGCCGAAAATGCTTTTAAACCTGGCAAATCATTGACATTTTTCATGGTAATTGTAAATGAAATTTTAAGCAGAGTTCCGTCAAATTTAAATTTACTATACTTTGTCCCAATTAGGGAAAGAATTCAATAAAGGAGAAATACACCTTGTATCGAGTGCTCTAACGCCTTGACAACAAAAATAGCAGCATGTGTGTGTACGAAGAGAAAAATTGATAAAATGAGATAGAGGGCATTCTGATGGATATAAATTATGCTCATACGCCTTGAAAGAGCAAAATTTAGCCGAGTTAATGAGGGATATTTCATGTGATCGTAACGCACACAAATCTGAAAAGCTGGTTTTTCTGGGTAACAAACGTCTATAAAAAGTAAAATAAGGCAGTAAAGTGTTAAAACAATACTTTAAAGTTAGACTGATCTAATCAAATAAAATTAAAGGAGTACATCATTAAAAAGTGTGCGCAAAACAAACGAATGACCGGAGAAAAGCGGTTTCTACTGGTTTGTTAAGTAACGATACTGACTATAATAAGACATTGAAGAAAATAGATCGAAAAAAAGGAAAATAATAAAACGATATGCGAATGCTGTCGAGACATCTTCATCCTTTGATTACTCAAATATTGTTGTTGTAGACTCTGATTTTCTACAAATACTGCACTGTCGTGATGTAAAATACAACGACTTGTATTGCAATAACCCATGTGATAGATAAATCAGTCACAAAGTTAGTTAGATCATACTTGATCAAATCCGAGGCAAACGTGGTCCACAGATAACTTTGTGAATGTTGAAGACTGCTACAGACCATCCATCTTGACATCCAGCCAAGCTATAATATTTCCAGTTATATTATCTTTAGAACAAGCGACAGATCAGGATTCTTGTCCCTCAAAATTGGTTGGTGTTGGTTTGGGATTTTCTTTGATAGGTCTGTCGGACTCCCGATGAAGAAGATAAGTCTGCATCTCACCCTTCCCTGTAATGTATTAGAAAACTATTAGCCGAAGGCTGAAGCCCTAAGTTTGATAAAGAAACTGTTGCTATCTAATTTTAGTGTGACACACTGATATAACGGGTCTAGAGCAATGGTCGGCAAATTTCATGTACTTGCGAGCCAAATATACACATTTTCAATAGCGTGCGGGCCGCATTCATTTCTGACAATCAACAATCGCCACATTAAACTTCAAATTATGGCGCAGGCGCACCATCTATTGCTGTGTTAAAAGCCTTCTACAATGAGACGTGTATGTGGCCTTTTTTAATATATTATTATAACATACTTTTTTATGTACTTAATTATAAATGTGAAGGATGAGGTTGTTTCTGTGTCATGGCCAAAGAGTTAAAATCAAATGGCAACTTCGTTGCTCCGCAGTACGTCATACAATTGACGATCTGACAAGCGAGTACAAAATTTATTCTTAGTGTAATGCACTTCATATAAATCTGCTCACAGAAATATGTGCTTCCGAACGTGTACATTATGCGCTTTGCACTATCGCACAGATGAGCAGTGGCGCAGCACTTTGCAAATATAGAGCATAAGATTTACCATACCTTTAACCATTGTACTTCCTCTGTATGTGAAGTCAAATTTATCTTTCAAGCATTTCTGACTGTTTTCAGAAACCTAGAAATCAAATATAAAATTTAAATAGCTCATTGATATTATGATTGTTTTTAACAGTTATAAAAATAGACATCCATAACTGACCGGTTCAGAATTGTTCGGAAAACAATTCAACGGGATGCTGAGCATTCCCACTAATAGGTGTATTATAATATTCAAAATGATGCGTATCATTATCTCACTATGAACAAAGCTCTAAACAAGCGGCCAGTGATGTTCATACTATTAGACTTATACTTATACTACTATTAGACATAAATAATGACTTCGTGAAATAAAAATTTGCCAAAATAAAATGGTAATTCAAGATTTTATATATTCCTGAACTCTAGATGTTATTCATTCGGATTGAAATACAGTTAAACCAAGGTCTTGGTACAACTTTGTGATAAAAATTAAACAAAAAACATCACAATTAATAGCATTTCATGGTAATAAATATATGATGCTGAGCTCAATGCGATAGGAGTCTTCTTCCACTTACTTGAATTTTTCCTGGAACTCCAGTTGAGTCCATACGACTTGCAATATTGACAGTATCTCCCCATATATCATATAGCAGTTTGGTTGTGCCGATGACACCGGCAGTTACAGAACCATGATTGAATCCGATACGTAAAATAAAAGTGAAGCACACCATGTTTTCATTGAATTCAAAGATCACATCCTAAAATAAGAAAAATTTTCAAATTTACTTCCAAATTTTTGCCGTCAATTGGCATCTGCATCAATAAAAATCTGTTCTATGAATAAAAAATGTTTTTTTGCCATATAGTTTAAGATACTTGTCCAAGGTTACCAATTCTCCAACAATCAAACAATTCGCCAATAGTTTCTCACCTGAACTTCAGTGCAGAAGTGCATCAACGTACATAAATGATTATTATTGTTTGGTTCTCTCTCTATGTTTGGGTTCAAGCCTGAAATAATATCATTATGTATTCATGGTAAGTTGATAGGTTGAAACCATATGCGTATGAATTAAAGCCCAGTCTCCAAACGAGACTCTGTGACAGTAGTTGGGAGCCCCATTTCATTGCCACAAAGAGTCTAACTCGGAAAGGATATAATTCTCATACTTGTCACGAAGAGAGGAAACATGATAAGATTACTTAATACTCATATGGCGAACTATGGCCTCGTATCTGGTTACCATGGCGCGTATAGGAATAGTAAACCGGTTATTTGTTGGAAAAGAGTCTATTTTAGAGTTTTCATATAAACCCTAAGGGAGAGTGAAGATGACAGGATGACCTGAACATATTGTGAACTACAGCCTTTCGTCTGGTTACTAGCCCGCATCAGGTATGAGACTATTTAACTGGTTATTTGTTTCAGATGCAGGGAGTTGCAGAGTGACCTGGAGGAGGAAATATTTTTACATTTTATACGACTTGCCGTTTATTCCGAACAAGACTCTTTACACGCCGATTGATAGAAAAGGAGCTATTATATTTTGAAAGAGCCAGAATCTTTCTAGTTCGGTATTACTTATGCAATTTATCATGCCCTGGTTGAGATGCTGGGCAAGGAATTCAAAATCAAAATTTTAATCTGTAATTTCATTACAGTTACTTTTAACACGCCTGCCAGTGGACCACCGCATCATCCAAAATAGCTTTGAAAATATTTCGCACAAATGCACAAATTTATCACTTTTTTGTTTTATCATGTTGAATAGCCTTATTTGAATGGCAATTGCGCAGAATTCTATTTTTTCAAATGAAAATCAAAAGCAAAACCTATGATCATAATTCTACTAACCTGATGCAATCATAAAAGTGGAACCGATAGTTTTAATCTTTTCAACTTCTGCATATTTCTCATTGTCAAGAAGTTCATCCACATCACCTAAATGCCAAAAAGGAATAATCCTTAAAGAAGTCTGAATTTTCAAAATAAAAAGGCGAAATAAATGGAATAGAAAAATGTAGTAATAGATACATAGAAAGAGCAATAATTTAACTATAATTTTAGAGTAAATACATGTTGTGTTGTTCCTATATTGCTTACCAATAAGTTCGTTCAGAACACGAATGCATTCTTTACCACCAGCATATGATTCTTCATAAAACTCATTGAAATTGATAATGGATGCGAAAATGACACCGACATTCTCATGATTTTTAGAATACATGTTCTTCTCCTGTAGCATGACAAGAAAACATATTACAAATAGTAATGATGTGGCTGATTCCAACTGTAATATCCCTACCATTACCTTACGAGAAAATTTTTTTTAAATTGAATTCGCTCAAAGATTTGCTCGCACTCACAAGTAAAGAAGACTCATCCCTGAGCAGTGTTACAGGAAACACTGGTGCTGTATTGCACATACGAAAATTTGGGACAAGAGATCTAAGGCAGTGTTAAGTCATATTGTTCAAGAAAACAGCTAATCAGCTATTATAAAGTAGTTAATTCTAAAATAACTGAAGTTCTTCAACCTCAAGATTTTTTTTTAGAATAACGTCAATTCGTCACTATTTACAAAAGATAATTGGTAAATAAAAATTGGAAAATAAAAATTGGTAAATAAAAATTGGAAAATAAAAATAAAATATGGGGAAAAAAAATGGTAGAAAATTGAAATCAGCAGCAAATCACTGTCACTTCACCCTTATGACTTCTTGGACACGAGGTGGTATAATATGAAGAAGTAATTGATCCATCTGATTCCTTTCTTCTTCCATTGTTTTGTTACTTTCCTCAGCTTCGTGAGCAATAAAGAAAGTAAGACGGTGACCAACCTGGAAAATGTAACGAAACGATGTTAAGAAATTGCAATTTCAATCATAGCAAAGTTTTAAAACATCAATTGAAAGTGTAAAAGAGTACTCATAGAAGAAATACAAGTGGTGCAAGGAGCTTAATAGGGCTGTATAGTTAGGGATATTTTACTATGGACAACTACAGGTTTAAAAAATTTTCAACTCTTGCCAAAAAACAAAAATTTTGATAACAAAAACTTTTGCTTATACCAAAGCACAGCAATAAGGTCTAGTATTATATTCAAAAGCAGTGCATTTAGTATATTCAAAAATTAAAAAAATTTATTGAAAAGACAGAATTTTATACTATTAATTTTTGTAAACATGTTCCTCATAATAGCGTTATATTTCCAAATACGTGATATAAAAGAAATCTAAATTTGGGTTGTTTTTTCAATGAACATTTACCATATCTTCTCGCACATACGCCTACCCCGTAAAAACAGCCCTAAAACAGTGAATTATAAAAAGGTTATGTGCGAATAAGACCTCGTGTTTGACAACTTTTTTCGAGTTTTAAACTAGGCTTATATGCGGGGACTTAAAGTACCAGTGGTACTACATTACAATTACAAGACAATCAACAAAAATAATCCGTTGACATAAGACAAAGCTCAGATGAACATCTCATATAAGTTAGGTCCATTACCTCGTATTCTCTGTTGACGATGAATATAAACAACATAAGCAGCAGAATATCAATTATAAATTCATATTGATATTTACTCATTTCTGATAGACATAATCCATTTGTGGCTAAAAATGAAACAAAATAAAAAATTAAGAGTAATATAAATTTTTGAATACTAATTTGTAAAGAAATCTCTCCCCAGGGCTCCATGAGAAAAACCTATTGGCCCACGAGCTATTCGTTCACTTATTGAAATACCGACTTAAAATACTGTCCAAAGAAGCATTAAAGGCATTAATAGGATTTTACAATGGTAGTATCGAAATGTGGCAACAAGGTGGTAATTGAAATATGACATCATCTGTAATATGTAATTTTTATTTTATAAATCCATTGGCGGGCTCCATAAATAACAGGCAACCTCTACATTGGCTTCATGACACCCCTAGGCTAAAGATGTCAGTTCCAGCAACATCCATAATAGCCGATCAAAGATGTGATAATTTAATGTTGGTAGGTTATGCCCGACCAAAAAGTTCCTTATTGTTGCAAAATTTCAGCTGATTATCTTATCTATCATGATATTCATTGGACATGGCAATCCCTTATGACGGAATATTACTGTTTTTTTCTTATAAATTGTATCAAATAAAGGTGACACATACTCAGAGGTAAAGGAGACATATCTTGGAGCAAGATTACGAGGAACCATTGAAATGCCTATGACTACTATATCCTAGAACATTGGTTCCCAACCGCCGGTCCGCGAACCGGTGCCGGTCCGCCAAGCATTTTTGCCGGTCCGCGAGAAAATTCCGTTTTTGTTGTTTTTATGCCGTCTAAATCGCTGTACCGAAGGCGAGGTTGCGTTGGTTTAATACGCAATTTCTCTTCCGCCGTCATATTGTGACAACTTGGCGCCCAGTAATCATACTTTTCGCTTTTTCGGCTCCGCTCCGATCTCTTTACCGAAGACGAGGTTGCGTTGGTTTATTACGCAATTTCTCTTCCGCCGTCATATTGCGACATCTTGGCGCCGAGTAATCACACTTTTTGCTATTTCGGCTCCGATTCTTCGTGAATGCGCTCCATCAAATCTCGCAAAATTCAGAAAACCTAAAAATTGGCACCCGTGCTTTTTCTGTTCTGCATGCTTTTCCTGATTAATATTACCATCCAAATAAAACGTTATGCATATTTCTTTGTTCAACCCGAAAACAGTCAAGAAAAGTATAATACTCCAGTAAAATATGGCAGGTGGTCACGAGGCGCGCAAAAAAGCATGGGCCGCTGAGATCTTCTCCAGTATCTTGAGCAGACAAAGTAGGATTTTGAGCCTGGTGCCAAGTTAGCGACGACTTTGTCATTGTAATGTAAATTCTTTTCGTTTGAAGCATCGATCAACTGCAGAGGGATTATTGTGATAAACCAGATGAAAACGAAAAGGCTTGATTCAAATTGTGATTCTACTTTACAGTCCAGGAGTTACTTATATATAAAAGTAGTTTTATCACTAGCTCTAATTAAAGCGAAGCAAGGAAATTGGCTGCACGCCGCTGCAGAGCTATGTGATGCAGAAACTTCCTTGAGGCATTCCTTTATTGGAAACTAAACAGCAGCAAAATTCTCACTAGAGTTAATTGCGTTTGTACATGATTTGGCATGTACATGTTTTTTATGTGAGATGTTTTATGTGTCCCTTTCTTACGCATAATGGGTGCCCAGCACTGCATTTCATTACGCAAATATGTATGTTTCACCCATTTCAATTTTTGGCCGCCACATTTGATAGTTTTTCTTCATGTGAGCTGTTTTTAAGTGCCTTTTTTGTCTAAATGCATATTGAGTGCCGACATTGTATTGTATTACGCAAATATATGTTATTCTTTTCTGTTTCGGTCATTTTTTGCCGGTCCGCGAGTACATTTAATTTAATTTTACCAGTCCGCCAGGTTAGAAAGGTTGGGAACCACTGTCCTAGAACAACTTCTTTCATATTGTGAGATATCAGTGGCTTATTGTGCAAAGCCTTGTTAAGAGCAAAAGGGGGGGGGGGGATAATAAAAAAAATTGCGTTTGTAATACTTACTTATAATATTTGTTGTGCTGTTCCCTGTTGTTACTAATCTCTCTCCACACGGATTTAAATACACCAGCAGTGTGATGCTGATAGCAATGATACTGGCAATGACAGACCTTATCAGAAAAAATAAAAAATTAATTAGTATAGAACAGGGGTAGGCAACATTTTTTGTCGGTGGGACATATAAACCATTTGACCCATCTAACTGGACCACACAACAATTTTTTTGTTTTTTCCAGCCCTACAATTAAGAAAAACTATAACCCTCTCGAAACTACCAAAAGAGGCTACTGAACTGCTTCAAATTATTATTATTACATCACAATATAACGTTGTAAACAAACGTTACGAAAGCCTCAACGAAATGCATTAGTGACAACCAGAGCAACACGGGAAAGGCAAGAGGCAAAAATGCGGCCGTCGATTAGCCCTACAGTAATAAAGGCACTAGGCAAAACTGCAAAAGATTTAACGCAGCCAGCGACAAGAGCAAAAAATAAAGGTGCGGCCCACGGTTACACCCAGATATTTGTATCTGGCCCACCTATATTAAAGAACGGCATTTTTGGTTAAACCGCCAGCTATCTGACAATTTAACTGTCAAAAAGATATTTTTTATATCCTGAATCATCTCCAAAATTTTGACGCAAAAATGAAGATATTTCAAACGAATTCCTCCTGAACGCTTTTCAGGGAACTTTCTCAAAGCAATGTCCCAAACTCACTCGGACATAAAAAGAATCATTTCTGATCAAAGTTATGGACAAACACTGAAAAATCAAAAAATAAAAAAACGAGCTATACTAGGTACGCTTCGCACATTCTTGGACCAAACTTGAGCTGAAAGTCTCTTTGAGTATATTTTACCTTATCCAAGAACTTAGTTGATTGAAGTTAAGAAAATGAATGAGAACAATTCCCATTATAATAAGATAAGTTGCACAATCAGGTGGTAGCGGAGATCCAATTGAATGACAAAACATGTTTGAGAAAACCATTGCAGCGGGACAAGCGAGACATATAACTCCAAGAAAATGCCTGTCAATTAGAATAAAAAGAAAATTTAATTCTTCTTATTAGCAAGGTAAAGTGAAGAATAAATCAATACATTTTGGTAAGATGTTATAAGTATATGTAGCGTCATATTGAATTATTCGCTTTCACAAAAAGCTGTAATAGAGGTCATTTTGGGCTTCAATATGAACTTGTATTAGAAAATTGGGATCAATGTTATTTCAATACATTGTCTTACCTTGGTACCCATCCAGAAAAGCCTTTGACCCAACCAGGTACGTTACCGATATTGAAAACGTAATTGAAAACGATGTAAACAACGAAACCCTGATAAAACAAATTCAAGAAAATTATATGGGACAACATGAACAAATTACGAAAAAGGACAATTACATAGAAAAACAGAAAGCACCTCTTCCACGATAATTAGTAAAATTATATTCCGATGAAGCAAAAATTTTCATTTTTATCCAGAGGAGAGGAAGTTAATAAGACGACCTATTAATCATAGGGCAAACCAAGCCCAGTCACCCAGTTACCAGTCCATGTCAGGTATGGGAGTAGTTAGCCAGTTATTCGTTTCAGATGTACGAACGTGATGGTGGAGGTATCAACCAGTGGTTATGTTTATCACCCTACAATGACAAGGAGTCCACCAATCCCCCCACACATTACTATCCCATGTGGGATTCGAACCTGCAAAGCACGCAGGGTAATAGGTTTTTGGCAAGCATGTACCTAACGCTTAACATAGGCTAACTGCCAAGCCCTAAATTATTTCTCACCATAATGATGAAGACGACTACAAAAACAATACACCAGGCAGCTCGGAATCCAAAATCTGCAAGTGAGGCGAACGATACCAGAGCAAACACAATGAATGAGATGAGAAGATCCTGAAAGTATAAATAGATATTAAAATATTAGGTCATAAATCAAAAACATTTACTTTGCTTTAAATAGAAATATAAAATAAGAACAGCTAGAAAATAAATTCAATGAAAAGTTTATCATGGTAAAACTAAAATAATAGTATTTTACATATAGCATTTCATAATAACCAGAGAACCATACTCGGATATAAAAATAAGTATGTGGTACTATTGTCATCAGCCATTCGATGAGCACTCACTCCACAAAATCGATTGTTTGGTATCAGGGGTGCCGTACCCAGGGGGTTTGCGAGTCAGGAATGTAAAAAAGCATTTTTACGCTTTTTAGACCCTCAAGACTCTTGAAAACCCATGTTTCCGAATCCGCTATCAAGTTGGCAATTAGTAATTTCACCCCCCCCCCTTAAATTCAAAACTCCTGCCTACACCCCTACACCCCTGTTTGGCAATCTGATGATTTGAGTGAAGATGGATCAGTAGTTGAAAAAAAAAATTTTTGTCACAATCATTTAGCAAAAAAATGCATATGTGCCCTTAAGTCATTGCAACACGGACTACTGAGAAAGCTAAGATATACTAATTATACCAGAATCAACGCTAAATAAAAAACAAATTTTGCAATTATATATTAAAAACACAAAAGTACCCAAGAATAGATCGAAGTGCATCTATTTTTCATGAAAACTTAATACCTATAATATCCCATGACTGGGACAAAATTGAGAAGACTTTGAGATAATGGAATGTTAATCGCGGATTAAAAACGGTCTAAAAAATTAATGAGCTTCAAGCGCAAAAAAAAAGGGAAAAGTTACAGATTGTATTTGATATTATCTTTATTCAGGTATGAACTTAGTTATAAATCAAATTTCATATTTAATTTCAAAATCGATATTTCGCCAAAAAAATTAAGAATTAAACAGAAACAAGAAAGTCAAATAGGTATGTCATGAAATATTCAATGACTTTAGTCTACGGTTTTTATGAATTACCGAAAAATATGAAACTCAATATATTGAAGTCTTCATCAATTTCATAATACTACACGTTTCAAGAAAATCTACTAAAAATGAAATTAAAATACTTTTGCTTTTTTGCTCCAATTGTGATAAAAAAAGAACGTTAACTCATGCCAAGGTGATACAAAAAAGAAATTCAAATATTTAAATATAATAGTATATTAAATATTGTATCAAATAAATAATTCAAATCGTTTCTCAAATTTTCCCGAATTCTTTGTAATGTAACTTGTTATTATATCGGTGTTCGGTGAATTATCAATAAATTTTTATAACAGTATATTTTTAACGAAAATTCTAGACCTGATCTCATTAGTTACAATTAAAATATAATGATATATAATAGTTCTTTATTCTCGAAATAAGGCACAACCAAACACTATAATATACTTTATTTTTTATTAAAGTATTGCAAGCGAGCACAGTGCTCTATTGGTTAGCACGTTGGCATCTCAACATCTATCTGAAAGTTCAGCTCCTGTGTCTAATGCAGGGTGAAATTACAAATTTTAAAGGCAATGACAAGCCGGGAAGATATCAGTCATTACAAAAATAGTAGTTGCTTATGTATCAGTTTCTGCTTGAATAGCTAGATTCTTATATGTGAAAATATTACATGAAAAACTGAGCAGCTTCCCAATATACTGCATGGAAAATAGAAATTCTTCTCAATAAAGTGGCATGAAAGACTTGTTTAGGTATCGTGAAATTGTTGGTATATTTTTGCCATTTTTCACAGTTTTGGCATGCATACTCAAAAAAAGCTAAGAAAAAAGCAGCTGCAGCCAGATTCGGGAAACTGTCCATAAGTTTAATTCTGTAAATAAGCAAGAAATCGGACAAAACATGTTTGAAGATTGATGCAGAGCTGCCCCAGAATAAAAAATAAAGATCAGAAATGCTACAATAAAATAATAATTATATGAAAAAGAATGATTTAAAACAAACATACCAGCATGAAACTGAATCTTGCGCTGACAAAAGAAGTTATCTCTTCGTCGTTTTCAACTTCGTTATGAAATTTATTCCTGTATTCAGTTTCTATCTTAGGATCAATGAACCTCATACTGACAGGTTCCAATGGTTCATTGTTGTTGATGTTTTTCATTCGTCTGAAATGGAAATATAAAAATGTTTCAAATACCCTTAGTGAGATTTCATTTTTAATTCATGGTTTCAACTTGCCTGGTATAAATAAGATAATCCTACTTTCCTTATTAGGAAGATTTCTCAGTTAAGTCTAGTTCAACTGATCAAGTCAGAATGTGTGGAATAATAATTAGTCAATAAGAGTGCATGACATCTTTCTGTTTCTATTATAGGGTGGTAAATAGTAAAATTTCTAGAAATGTCAAACAAATATACTTTCAGATACTGGCAATATTAAAAACAGAAGTAATGATAAAAAAAATTTTATGGTTGTACAAATACATTAGTTTTCTTCACCCATCGTGAGATGACTATAAATTCTATCAAAAGGCACAATTTACAACACCCTGAACAAAGGCAAAGTTTCAACAGGGGTATTTAATATGCAAAAATTTACGACTCACAAAACACAAAATTATACATGCTACACATTAGGTAATTATGATAATTGGTAACCACCAACTATCAACTATCTTGTTAAACTTTGCAGTTACTAGTTAGTAGCATTATACATCAAATATTGATAATGGGTAAAGCCTGTTTTTTCCTGCGTTTAACCCGATATAACATATCATATAGTGACTTACGGGTCATTTTTGATGGTGTCGACAAATTCACTGTCCTGTTTTACTCTGACTGATGATTGTGATGCTGCGTTCAATAGAGGAAGGACGTACCAACCAAGAATCTGATTCTGAAAATAAATTGATTGGCTTATTTCATATTCGAATACATACCCCTATTCCAAATATTTCACAGTGAATTTTGAAAAAATCCTAATTCTACAGAGTATCTAGAGTTCTCTATTTGATAAAAAAAAATTGTGAATTTGATTATTCAAAATTTGAAAAAAAAAAAATTTTCAGTTTTATTTCAACCCAACTCTCTGGAAAACTTTCAGTAAATGGTAAACCAACTTGAAAATAACAAGTTTATAAAAACCTATTACACAATACAAATATCATTAGAATCAATTCAAATTCCTTACACATCATTAGTAAAAAGTGTAATAACTTCAAATAAACAGAAAATAAAATTCTTTTTCATTTTTTTTTTCAATCAAAAAACATACATGGCTTTTATTCATATGGCTACACTGCCTGTCGCAGAAACTGAATATTCCATACCTGTTTACTGTTTGGATCATCTGCAGCAGCCTCGTGTCTCCTTCTACTTTTATATCTTGAACTATGATGATGGTGATTGCGAGTACTGGTTCTCTGTTATTTTCAAACATTGCATAAAACACAAAAACAGTTTTAAAATTTTTTAATTTGGCATTAGCATGATTCCAAATAAAGCAGAGCAAAGAGATCATCTGGCAGAATCCATTGCTATGGATTTATATAGTATATTTGCCCGTATTATAAATAATCATCATACAAACCTTTTTGTTGGAATATACCTCCAAGCAGATATGTTTGTTATATACGGTAGTTAATAAAATTGATTTTCATTCAAAAGTGTAAGCCAGCCAATTTAATAATCCTATCATGCCAATGTTTCGATTGCTGTTTTATTCATTTTCATTTTGTCTTATTTTTGAAAGGTTTATGTATATTTCAGAAAAATAGTTATTTTGGGGAGCATTACCAAGTCAATTTATGTGTGAGAAGACTCAGAGTGAATAATACATTTTGCCATGCAAAGCGAATACATGCCTACGTCCAAATGACACACCTTTAGATGTATGGTATGCAGTTAAGTTCATTTCAATTATAAAAGTTAAAATTATGTTGAAATTTGCATTTAAACAATACCAAGAAAATTTATAATTTTTTGTTTTGTTAAAAATTTTGATTCAAAGCTTTGTTATCATTCTTGTTATAATCTTGCTGACATGTGGTGTTATTGTGGTGAAAACCACAGATCCAGAGATCGCTGGTCAGTTGAAGATTGAATAGATTGACTTAAATTTTAGTAGGATATGTCAAATTTACAGAAGTTCCAAAACAAATTCGTTATCTCTCTTTGGGGTAGTAATAAGCGCTAAAAGTCGGGACAATTAAAATTTAGAATATTTTTTATCCTTACTTTTGGTGAATTATCTGAAAATTGGCATTTTTTTGTTTTGCGATTGACTAATTCAAGATTAAAACAAATATATATTCAAATCTCACATAATTTAAAAAAAATTTTCTTGTATGTTATTTCATATGTTGATAATAATTACATATGGTTTGCCTAGTTCTTGGGTCTGTTGAGTAAAGAAAAATTTGAGATCCCATCCAGCAATAATAACCTGGTAATAATTTAAATCGAGTTGATCCATGCAATTTACTGATCTGTGATTGTTCCCGATCATAATTCATGCTAAAATTCACTCAAAAAAGGGAAAATTTATTAGTTTGATAGGTTATGAGAACCGAAAATGAAAATTTAATTTCTTGATTGTTGCATATTATGATAATCATCATGAACATCACATGAACTTGTTAAAACAATCCAGAGATATTTCACTCGTATATTAATTTAGACAGGAAATAATTTATGAGTAAGGGTTGACAATTTATGATGAGTAAGGGTTGACAATCTATCATGCAAATTCAAAAATGTTGTCAACCATTCATTCAATGAAAAGTTACTGATACATGGAATACATTGTAATTTTATTAATAATATTTGTTAGTTTTGAGGTATTTGAAAATGCATGTTTGCTAATAATGATTACGCTACATTATATAATATTGAATCAAATATGGGCATATGTTTTTTAACTATTTTATTTGAAGATATTTGCATAATATTCAGAACTTTTTTCATATTTTGTTTAGAAATATTCCAAATTCTGCTATTTTATCAAGAAAAAGTTTCGAGTTCGCTTCAGAAGATCACCAAAAATTCAGAATTTTTTAAAATCGAATTTTAACATTTCAATTTGGATAGCTTCAATTTGTATTTCTGTTTGAACTTAAAACGATTGGGAAACTAACGAAACTAATGCAAGCTAGTTGGTACATATATAAACTAACTTGAACCTGTTAACAATTAGTACACATAAATAGCAGAAGTCAAAAAATTTGATGTGGCAAGTCAGAATTTAGAGACTATGGATAGTATTCAAAAATTAGACTTCACATTATGCAACTATAACCTTAAATGAAAAAAAAAAAATTTCTTCACTTCAGGATGACGAGATTTTGTCTATTGCCTAACTTGGTATATAGGTATATGTATTAATAAGGGTGATTTTAAACACCTGAATAGCTCTTCAAATACGCAAAATAAAACAGCTATAATCTTATAAGTAGCCTGCACCTTATTATAAATATAAGCTGGATGGGCAACAATGCAATTATAACTTTGAATTAGTTCAATGCTTATCAGCATGCGATGTACCATGGTTTTAGTGTTATTCTAAAAAATGGTTATTCACCTTTAGAACTCACACAATAGAGGTATAATTTGACAAAACAAAAATAGTCCTCAGAAAAATATTAAGAAACCTTAACATAGTTTTGGAATCCGTCTGTCGGAAATGTGTATTAGCAATATTATGGAGAAATTTCATTCAAACATGAAAATATCAGATGAAATTGAATAAATTGGGTGACATCAGCTGTAGTTGGTTCAATTTTATATTGTTCCCACATAAATTATGTGAATTTTATTTATAACCTTAACAGGCCAATTTTCACACATAGGTAACTAATTTGGTTAAATTTAGTATTGTTCACACATAAGTTATATGAATTTTTATTTCATAACACGGCCAATTTTCACACATGACTGATTTGGTTAAATTTTGTATTGTTCACACATAAGTTATGTGAATTTTTATTTTGTAATAGACCAACTTTCACACATAACTAATTTGGTTAAAATTGTATTGTTCACACATAAATTATGTGAATATTTATCACATACCAGGCCACTTTTCACACATAACTGAATTGGGTAAATTTTGTATTGTCACACATAATATACGTGAATTTTTATTACATAACAGGTCAATTTTCACACATCACTAATTTTGTTAAATTTTGTATTATCACACATAGAATATGTGAATTCTTATTTTACAAGGGGTCAATTTTTCCACATAGCAAATTTCACATAAATATACACGTAAGCACCAAGAAGAAGAGTACACCGCATGCTTACAAACATTCAAGAATTAAATCCAGCGGAAAATGTACGGTAAACACAGTTAATTCCACACTAAGATAAGCTTCGAAAATGACAAAAAGAAAAGACCCACCTTTACGCTGAGTAGCGGGTCAGTCTGCAGTGTACTTTCGTGATCATACGTTCCCTAAAGAGTGGGTTCGAAAGACAAATGAAAAGCATGCATGCAGTAAAATAAATGTACATACAACAAAACACAAGACTGCCATGTGAAGAGAATTAGCACATGAATAATAAGTCAAGTCGGTGTGAATGTGAACACATAAGCATGTAAATCACATTAATACACAACACATGGAAAGTTACTACACAATGAAAAATAGATTGCCAAAAATTGAATAATAGGGTGGGATAGGCCACAGATAAAACGAACCATAATGGCACATTCTACCAATGGCCCAACCCTAACGCGACTAAAATATTTCATTGTAAATAGAGACAGTGGAAATATATATTACCGAATTAAAAAAATCAGTATATTTAAAGGGAATTACAGTATAAATATTTCAAACTTCAGAGCATCAATAAATTTTGGTTATGAAATCTCACACTTAGAAATTTTTTTTTTAACAATTTTTGGCAATCAGAAAGTAAGAATGAAAAAAGATAAACAAACCTGTAAAAAATTATAACAAAGAATATGATTTTACACCAAAATTCAATAAACAACATTAATTAAAATATTATTTTTAGCTGAAAGCTCGATATAATTGTTATTATATCGGACATTGTTACAAAAAATGTTTATTGAAATGAGTTATAATTTTTGTAGCAAGAGTTAATGAAGTTAGAATGAACACCAACATAGCAATCACATGAATACAACACCAAAAAGATGGAATATTGCAGAAGGATTACCTATGATATTATGGGAATTTATGGAGCATGATATATTGGAATTTTGCAGGGATATCAAAGCACTTTATGGCAATGCATAAGAAATATTTATAAAGTCTTTCCAATAGTGATTTATTTTATGATTTTGAACTTTTATTGATAAAACAATCCAACACATCTTCAAGTTTAAGTTTTTAATACATAACGATTTGATACTAAAAAAAATCGAGTATTAGTATATCCAGTAACAACGGACTCGACCGGTATCTTAGAAGTTCGAAGCAAAAGATTTCCAAAAGCAAAAATTTGCGTTAATGAAAGCAAGAACGCATTTCCATTAACATCTGGTTTGATGTTTATTAATATAAGGTGATTGATTGAAGGCATGAGTAAGATGAAACCACCCAAAGGCATAAAGCGAATTCACACAAAGTACAAAAGCTGTTCATTTATAAGCCCGTCTGGATTAAAGCTTTAAATATGGTTTGCCTAACCTGACTTAAAGATATTACATACCATGTTTTGTTTGTTAGTCGGTTTAAAATAGAAATAAAAAAATTCCAATTCTGGGTTAATATGAAAGATTTATTCTGTAGCAAAATCATGTTTAGCGCTAAATTTAACTTGCGAAAGTTCACAAAATCATCATTTACCTTGGACAAAATATGAAAATTTTAATCCCACAAAAAATTTAATCGCTTCATTTTTACTTATATCAAGACCACCAATAGCCACGGATGGTGAAACTGAATAATAAATTCTAAAATAATGTTTTAAATTGCGGAATAGCTAATGTATTCCAGAATTGGGTAAAGTTTAACAGAGGGAGTTGATGAAGAGTTTACCTAAACAATGCTTAAATTGCTTTTAATTATTTATTGTTTATAAAGTAAGTGTAGTCGTTGTTTTGATACTGCTTTACTTCTTCAATTATTCAAAATTTTCGAATGAAACCATACTAAATTATATCTAAAATCAAGAATGTAAAATAATTTTGAATTGATTCAAATATTTGATTCATTCTTGACATGTATGGCGAACCATGGCCTCTCGTCTGGTTACCAATCCATGTCAGTATGGGATAAGTTAGCCAGTTATGTGATGTCCTTATAGTCTAACGCTTCCAACTACCAGACCAGTGGTACCCATCCCTTTTATGGCTTGAGACCCCTTCAGGAGGCTTTTACCACTCATGGCCTCCTGTTTTCCATTCCGGTGGTATTTATAGTATTATTTTGATAGGTAGATATTCGTAAATCCAAATCCCTTTATATTCAAACAATTCATCCTCAACAATGTGAAAACACCCAGTGAAATAACCTTATCAAGTAATGGAACTAGGAAGAAAGGGGAATTTTCTTGTGAAGAGAAATGTAAAATCATTTCTGACCCTAGTATCGTGGTCCCCGGTTGGAAACCAGTTGTATCAAACCATTATGACTACTTCTTCGGATTCACAACCTTGATGACATAAGGCAGGGCTACTCAACTGTCGGTCCGCGGTCCGAATACGAATCTTTCGAGTATTTGATTCGGACCGCTCCTAATTCTTTATTTTAGATCATTAGCCCCACTTTTGAAGTTTCCTTTAATAAAATGACTTTTATAGTTTTGAATATATTATATATATATTATATATTTGAATATATTGAACTACACCACCATAATAAGCAATTTTGATTAGCTAATAATCATTAGCCGGTCGAGGAAGTGTGCGTTTTAAGGATGCTGAAATATAAATTCTGGAAAGACGGACCCAAATAATTTTTTAAGTTTTGTATGCGGATCTTCGGTGAAAATAGTTGAGTAGACCTGACATAAGGTACAGCAGTTTCTAGGGTAATAAAAATTCATAAGAGAGTAATTTTTATTAAATTTATTATTCTTTCAAATCGATGGTCCAAATTGATTGAATAGTTAATTCACCCTGTTCAATAAATATTTTGAAATTCAAAAATTTTGTTTCAACAACTTACTGCTTCATATATGATATCATAGAAATTTCAATCTGAAGATATTTTTCGCTTCCCTCATTTTGTATTTCAAAATGACAAAGTGTTATATTATAGAATCGATGTCATAAAAACACATCAATACCGATATTAAAACTTTTGAAAAAATCTATATATTATATTTCCCATGGGTGTTTCAAAGTTTTAAAATTCTACAACTGGAAATGTTTTGTAATAAAACAATTTTCCAATAATCGAGTGTTAAAAAAGTTTTTCGTTGCGATATTATCGTAATTATTGGATATCAATATTACTAAATAATATAAGGAGTAATTGAGACTGCAGAACATCAATAAACGACAATTTATATTGATTAGGTGTCAGAGGTCATTGAGAATTATTCTTGAATTGCAAAGACTTAAATTAAAGCAAGTCAATAAAACTGAAGTCTTATCTATAAATATGATGAAAATAACATTATACCCTTCAAGAAATATTGAGTACAAAAAGACCCCAAAACTATGAATTCATAAATTTCTTGATTATTTGTTTAAAAATGAAGAAAATATATTCCAAACATGAACTTCTATTTGTGTATGATTGTAGCCAGTCAAAAGTTATGTTCTCTCTAGAGCATGTCCCAAATGACCCGACTTCTTGTTTCGTTTGGGGTGTCGCTTTTTGTCATTTAAAATTGTCTGATTCAGAATGTTCAGAATGAAATAAATATATGAATACATTTAAACTAAATACATTTGTGGTAGAAAATTTTTGAATTTTTGGACGTGGTCATTTAAAAAACTTTTTGACAAACTCTACAGATAGTGACTTTATTTATCACTGGCTGATGTCTCAAGACTTGTCGAGAGTGTAGATGTAACACACACATCGAGCGTCCTAAAATTCCTTTCTAAAAATTTCATGACTTATTTTAGACGCTGTTCTTAAAGAAGTATCACACATTCTCCCAATAAAAAGCAATACCTATAATTATCTTTGATGCACATAATACCAGTAGCAGTACCACCATACTATATATCAAGTCATCTATGACAAATCAATGTTTTAGTGTTTATCCGTATAAATATAGCAATTATTTATACGTTTCTTCGAAAGAAATTTTCTTCAAAAGAGAATTTCTTCGTATATTATTATACAAAAAAATACGATTGCATTACGACATATTATAAGCTTGCAAATGGTATTGCATGCTGCATGCCAAGCTAGTGTTTATTTGTTTTACTCGTTTGACTACTAAATAATATTCCAAATGAAAAAATAAAAATAGTTTGGTATGTTGCAAAATAATGCGCTGTGGTGTTAGATCGCAAATGCCAATGTAACCATTTTAGTTTATTATTAAGAAGCAACCAGAAACCAGTACTTTGCTATTTTTAGTGTTTTGTTAAGCAATTGCCTAAATACTCCATAATAATCTGGTCAAGTACGGTATATAAATGTATCGAAGCAATAACAATATTTGTTAACAAAAATGCATAATAATTTGACAATATATTTCATCAAATACATTGGGGACAGCCAAGTACGAAATATTATCATTATTAACAAAGGTACAATATATATAGAAGTCAGCATTCATATAAAATATAATAGTAATGGTTAATAGCCATAATAGGTTATTAAAGCAGTTAGTACTTACATTGACAGTATTGTTGTCTTCACCTGTATTTTCACCAACAATTCCAACCTGAAATATTCAAGGGATTTTCCATATTTAAAATGTCCTTTATTTTCTTATGCTTATTGGAAACAGAATGCACCTATGGATCGTTTTGCTGCATGTTGTTGTTGTGAGCTTTGTTGTCATAAAAACTGCAATGTTCCTCAACTTCTAGACCAGTTGACTTACCGTAATTTTCAGTGATAGAAGATAGCAGAAGGCTATTACTTTTGGCCACTACTTCTTTGATATTTGACCATTGTGTTTATATATTTAAGCACTGCCCTCGTGTTCTATCACTATTAATAGTGGCACTTACTGTACAGATTTTCGTATTTTTTTTACGTCAAATACTGATGATAAAATTCCAGGTCGACAAAACAGATGGTAAATAAGTTGCTTATTATTTTTATTCTGCGTTTTTGTATCTTCACTCTGAACAAGGCTCTGCACAGCCATTGATTTAACTATTTTTCGCTTTGATACCTTATTATTTGTAATAATCATGGAACCGTCCTGTTGATTGTCGTCAGTGGCCTGTTGTGCACCTCCATTGTCTTGTGGAGTTTTGATGATGACGGTGGTATCTTCCACTCTTACACCGTTAGGCTGTGATTTGGTCTCATTTTCTACAGATACCTGAAAATGATGTTTTTCTTGCAGTTAGGAATGAAATGAATGGGATAAGATTTCTAGGAGAATCCTCATGAATACAAGTCATATTAAAGTTACCATTTCCTGTGCTTTCTGGTCGACTTGATCGATTACATCTCCATTCTGAGATGTGGAGGAGGTTGAACTTTCTCCTGATATTGAAGATGTGTCAGAATCTGGTCTATCAACAATCAGATAGGTTTTGATTCCTTTTGCTGTAATGTATGAAATATGAGTCATAAAAGATGGTGTATGTATATAATATTTTTTCTTTCTAAAAAAAATTTCAGAAAACAGAACAGGATATCATATATGCCAAACATATTAGGACTATATATCTTTTTTTGTAAATAAGCCAAATGCACAAATTGAATTGAATCCACAAATAAATAATATATGATATTTTCATATGTGATCATATGCAAGTTTTTACACAAATCTTCGTTTAAATTTATAATATGAGCAATTCGGTAATAAGTTGCAATTACTGTTTTATATACAGACTTGCCACGGCCATTGAAATCACAGCAACCTATTAAATCTATATTAGATTAAGTCTTATTCACGCCATCACTCTTAGCCAATGCCATGTGAGGTACTAATATTTTTGGAATGGCCGAATGTTTTCAGTTTAGCAATGCCTGCCCTGGGACAGGTGGTTGGCATGGAGCTTGATCCCACGCCCTTTAAACTGTGATTCCGACACTTTGACCATATGGCGCCCTAAAATGAGTGACGGGTATACACATACCGACAACTTCAGCAGGGGCACGTTCCTCAATTTTTCCATCCTCAATTTCATATAAATCACCGAGACAATCTCTGGTAGATTGTGAAACATGAATTCTGCCAGGAACTCCCCATTGTTCCATATGATTGGCAAAACTAACATCGTTTGACCACACATCAAACTGTAAAAAAAAATTTCCGAATAGTAAGATTATAGTTTTATGTCCCATTTTGGGCACTCGAGAATTGTGTGTAACAATATGAAAATAACAATTTTGTTCGCCTACTTTACATCAAGTTGTATAAAGGGACTGAAACCTGTGGGCAGGGGGTATATTCACTTGGCTCACACAGACAGTCCCCGAACTCATAATAGAACTAAGATAAGGAAAATCGGAATATAAGTATGGCCTAACCCCAACCCAGTACACACATTATTTTATTAGTTTCTGACATCCATTCTGAACGAAATAATCTGTAGTTTTCAATCTGGTACTTTCCAATCATTGAATACTTTGCTAAGTTTAATTTTGTAAAATGAAAAAAAATTTGAAAACGTAAATCACGTTCCCAATCAACCAAATTTAGAATCCAATATCAACAAACTCATTACTAACCTTGAAACGCTTCATTCCAACAATTCCACAGATAACAATTCCAGTATGAATTCCTATCCTCATGTTGACATTAACATCATTATCTGTGCAAAATCGTTTGATTGCATCGATCATACCAAGTCCCATCTCAACACAACATTTTGCATGATCTGGTTTTGGATCGGGACAACCAGCAACGCAGTAATAGCAATCACCTAAATAGAACAATCGTAAATATATATGCCTAGCACTGAAATCGAGGTTGTAATACTCCGAATATTTATCAATCAACATAGCCTTCTTTACCTAGAAACAAGAGACACAACGCAGTAACAGATATGTATCAAAAGTATTTTAGTTTTTTTTTCACAGGAATTCACAATTACTGGAAAAAGTTAAAGAAATGTGGTCCATAAAAAAACTTCCCTTCAACTTATATAGCATTTGCATCTTTGGATAATCTTTCTCAATTTTATTTAGGGATAAGAACTATCCATTCAAAGTATCATTGCAAACACCCACTATTAAAGATCTGGCCAGTGCTCGAGTCACTCAACTCAGGTTTAGGGACTGGATCTAGCTGCCTACAGGTCTTCATCCAGGTCTCTTGTAGAATGTTCCCTCAAGCACACACATATTTTATATACTGTCAGTGCAAGGAAGGCTTTTAATGTTCTCAAAAAATAAATTTTGTTTAAATCAACTCACAGTCTCTTTGAAGGCTTTACAAGGCAAACTAAATAAAACCTGTGAAGTGACTAAAACCTCCAAAGATTGTTGTGAAAAACAAAATCTTACAAATCCTCCTTGTGAATTACCTAATGTGCTGATCTTCTCACACTCAGTTTTCAAACACAAAGCATCGAATCTTCCGAACAAATCGTTGAGTAGATAAACTAAGGTAGCAGCACTCTTGTTTGCACTCATTTTTGTAAATCCAACGATATCAGCATACAAGATAGAAACATTTTCCATCCTAAGAAAAAAAATGACAAAAATTTCAAAGATGACATAACTTCAGTGGTAGATGAAAAGAGTAGGCTAGTAGTGAAATATCTTACAGACAAGTAGCCTAACTAGAAAAACTTGATGCAATACCTCAAATGACTAGATCTCCGCAAAGCTTTAAAATTAGAATTTCATTATTTACTGAGCAATGTAATAGACACGTAGTGTTTTTGAGGTGTTCTATTACAATACCATTTGTCTATAGCAAACTTTGGGTTCCCAAAGTTGATTAATCGGGGGCTAAAATTAAAGTGAAAGGATATTTGCGGGCCGGGAGAGTGGAGCGCCCGCAAGGGCCGGTCGCCTATTGACACTATTTGGGAAGCTTGCTCATACAAGGAAAGGTCCACCACATGAAAAGCAATTTCGGTGTCCCCTTTCGTAAAAAAGGCTGATGTGAATAATTGTTTTTAGCAGAGATCACAATAATTAAGGGGCTCACAACTTTCATGGGAATCATAAAAAGCGGTCAGAGGTATACAAAAATTTGGGAATCATTGCTATATACCCTACTTCATTGTTTATTAAATCCCTTACCTTTCGACATACAATGGCCTGAATTTTCCTTCTTCCTTGGCAGTCGTAACGAACATCTCTCTTCCTCCTTTTCCCTCCATCAGTTTATCTGACACACTAGGTGGCATGATAGAGTCGATCATGACTTTCTTGAAATTTTGTTCAACTTCGATAGATTGATTCGACTTGATAATTTGACCAACCTGAATAAAAATTACAATTTGAAATCTTAAGCTTCAAAGCGTGAAAGGCATTGAGTCTGCTAGTGCGATGGTTTTCATCTATGATTACCCTAAGTCAGAGCACAATTAATAAGCAAGCAATATAAGCACCATACTGTAAACAGAGTTCTGCATTTACATGACAATCTGAACTCACAGTCCATACCAAAAAATTTGCTTATGTTGTTGTATATTTTTATTATAACTGCAATGCTCGCTTTTTCAAGTTGACGAAATATTAAATCTCTCTCTCTCTCTCTCTGGTAAAAAATACCACTATGATTTCCAAGAAATTTTTTGAAACTTGGTGAAGTTATACCATAATGTACAACTAACAGTTTATGACCGATAACTTTAATTTAAATTTAAATAAAGACTTTATGTATATATAGTTAAAAAAAGTTTATGGATAAAGTTTATGCATACTTCACAAAAAACAGAACCTGCATCATTAGGAACATATTCTAGAAGAAACATAACTTATGTGTAAATCTTACTAGATTACTGAAACCGTCTGTATATCATACACAAACTGAAGCTCAAGTGTTGAATAAAATCCTTCATTTTCATAAAAGTAATCAAGAAATATAAAGGTTCAGAATTTTTTTTTTTTGGGAGGGTCACCCTGTACAATATTCAATAATAGAAGTAAATATCATTATTTGATAACCGAAGATAAAAGGGACAATGAGACTGATGATATAATTTTGTGCCATTATAGTATTGCTATTTCAATACATACTTATTTCAAACATTAATGAAAAAAATTTCCACACAGATTAATAGGAAAATATTCGGATTTCCAAATAGCATCTTAAGTTAGGTTTGAACTTAAGTATAAAATTGAACTTTTGACACATGGATGACCTTTGAAAACACTGGTTTCATGTTACTTAAATTTTTAATGTCATAAATTACATTTTATAATCCTTCCAATAAATGTCGCTACAAGTCACACACAGGACCACGCTAATGTTAAATTAGAGATAATTACAGGGTAGAGTATCAATTATTTAATATCTCATAATTTTTTTAATTATTAATAAGGACTGAGAAGTTTGAACTAATAATGTGAGAGCATGACAGCATTGATCTGATACCCAATCCAAATGATTGCGTCTAAAAATGGACGCAGGGCATATGGGTTAGCAAGCAGGCCAAATAATACAGAGGATACCGTATGCAAAGCATAACCGGCCTTAGCAATACGATCTGATGTTTTGCTAATATGAGTTGTGCTATATACATGCCCAACATACCGTTTACCAGCTAACAATCATTCCCTATTCAGGCACAAAAATTTGGAAATTTAAGTCGAAAATACAATCTTCAAATTAGGGTCAAATAGTCAGTACTGTACAGATATGAAAAAATCCTAGTAAACTAGGGTTGAGAAAATGGCCTTGTTGAAAGTTCACAAGACAACAATGTAGAAATTAACATTATAAACAATGGACACCCCAACTTGACATAATCATTGGGGACTTAAAAAATAAGCAAATATTCAAATCAATTCGAAATTATTTATATTCAATATTTCAAATTATTCATTGTGTGAATAATTTAGAGTAGTGCTAGAGCAATTGGAATGGAAGTCTTGCAATATGACCCGAAAGGCCTCCATTTATTTCTCGACAACTGTGAATATTGAAAATTATTCATATCAATGTTTACCTACATATTTCATGAATTTCAATCATTAAATATACACATCTACTTCTTTGCTGAACATGAATAAAATTTGAGATATATTTCATAATCAAAAAAATTATTTTATTCCCAATTTGGCCATTCAAGCTAAATTTTATTCTTTTATCCAATATCATGACCAAATATCATCTTTTAACCAAATTACCACTTGTTAAATAAATTACATTAAAATAAAAAGGTTGTTTTGATTATAATGTCACAACACATAATAATGACTAAACTGACTTCAATAATGTGGGAGTGATATCTGTTTTGATATTTTCACCTCCGGAAATGAAATTCTGTGGGAAATTGTCTGCTAATTTGGTTAGCATATTAAATAGAATGGAAGTGCTGATATCTTTAAATTGTCCTTCACAAAATGAATTCAGATTGCTGAGAAAAGCAATAAAATAAAGTAATTTGCATACAATCTCCATTCTTGTGTCGAATGACAAGTGCTTTTTCATCATATTGACACCAATAGCTTCAATTCTGGCATCAATCGGCATTGGCATAAATTCATATTGGCATTTCAATTACAAAAATGTTTATCTCTACTATTATGCATTACTGAATTCCATTTTTATCAATTCAATATGGTTTATTTATGCAAATTTCTTCAATGAACATACAGTAATCCAATTTCCAATATATTTAATATTCCATATTCAAAAATACTACTTCAAGTTGTATTCAGAAAGTAAATTATTTAATTTTGGTCATCCCTGACAGTATAATTCAGGCAAAATATAACTAGAACATTATATAAGATGGCCATAGATTCTTAAAAATTTTTCAAATTGCAAGGGAATTTATCGATACCATATATTGTTTTGGACCTCACATTTGTGTTAAATGAAGTAAAAATTAAACAATTACTGATTAAAAAACAAAAAACCTGGTTAAGATATATTCAGTACAAAATTGAAATTGTAAAGGGACTTCATGGACATCCAATACCAAACAAAATTTCAAACTTGTTTAAATATTTAAACATACCCAACACAGAGAACAGCGACCTGAATCCAGGAATGAGTTCATCTAAGTGTTGGCTAGACATTATTAAAAATTCATTTATATACCATGATGCATAATATGATACATCAGGATAAAGGAAGTAGCTAAATATAGAAGCATAGTCACAGGTTACATATATTAATTTGCAAAGAGTTATAACAAAGGCTAACAATGGAACATCACATCACAGCAATTGGTGTATTGAAATTATGCAACAGTAATTGAAATTTCATAAGTGGATTTTATGGCATAAGTCAATTTTGAATCTTCATTCAAGGTACGAATCTCATTTTAAACATCTTAGGATAAGGATGAGATTTTCATATTTATATCCGCAAAGAAAAAAGCCGATAAGACAGACCAATCATATACCGAACCATGACCTCGCGTTTGGTTACCAGTCCATGTCTGGTATGGGAATAGTTATTAATCAGTTATTCGTTTCAGATGCATGGACTTGATGGTGGAGGAAGATGAAATTATCCAGCAGTCACTAAAACCACCCTACAGCAGGAAGGGTCACTAAAACCACCCTACAGCAGGAAGGGATCCAGCAATTTTCACACACTTTATTATTTTTTTTATTCCCAGAGATCAGTCACCTTTACTTTTGATTGAAAATGCATGGCCTTATTTTTAGTAAATATTTGCAAAAAAAAGAGGTCAAAATATAGTACAGAGTTCACATATGGTAATTCAAGTAAAACAAATTGGAATTATAATGCAAAAGAGTGCTTTGAGTAAGAGGAAGTCGTTAATAATATAAGTTCATGGAGTTCTGATTCATAATATTCATCTATGAATCATACTTGGCAAAAAGAAAATATCATACTGCAATATCAGGAAGTTAAATTTTCACAAATTAATGATAAAGTCAGTGGTGTATACAGTACAAAGTATAAAACTAAAAATAGACTGAACCTACATAACTACAGGCCATACGAGGAAGGACTATTTGAATACATTTCTAATTTGGGTATATTTATAATAGATGATAATATTTATGAATATTTTTATATTTGCAAATTTGTTATCTTGAATATTTGACATCTGACAATTAGACAAAAGAAGCTTAGTTTTAATTTTTACATTGTTTTACTCAAATATTCGGAATGACCAATTTTATGGATATGCATTGTAAAATTTCAGTTGAAGATAACTTAACGGTAATTGAAATATAATTCTTCCATATTCACATATATTATTACAGAATATATTCAGAATAGTATATTATTAAAATTGGACAAATTTCAGAGTACTGTACAATTAAAATTCTATAACCTAAATATTTAAATTTAATTTTTTTTTAATATAATGTTGAATTTTGTTGACAGATTTGCTTTGGGAATCAGTTGACAAAAAGAAATATAAAAATAACAGTGTGTTCATGAAGTCGGTCACAAATTCAATTTTGTTATGAAGTCAGATTTTAATATATCTTTACCAGGTTTGTTTTGATGCAATCAGTTTTTGTTTTCTTCATTTTTTACTTCATTTAATACATATTAATTAAGGTCCCCATTCCACGAACAATATATGGTATTAATAAATTGCATTTACAGTCAAAAAAATTTCAAGCCAATTTAAACAATCTGTATATTGCAGCAATAAACTTATGGATGTGTGCAAAATGCATTTTACTTCGTTTACCGTAATTCAACAATATAAGATATATATGAGTAATGATTTAAATTTAACAATTCCATCATAACAATGTCATTTATGTAGTTTTCATTATATTTGGACGAATCTAATTTTAACACTAAGACATCACACAGAAGTCTAAAATTTAACACTACTTGAATATTTTAATACTTTGCTGCAAGCTATTCAGCCCATTGCACAACAAATTGAAAATAATCATTGTTTACAGCAAGCGCAGACAGCAGTGAATCTAAATTTAGAAACACTATATATATAAGCACCAATATATAAAGCCGAATTCATGCCAAATCCTATTAAGTCCAATGGGATTGACTAGCAATAAACAGTACACGGGAGTATCTTAATTTTCTTATATAGCAAGCTTGTGGGTTTTTTCCATTGTATTTGAGACTATTTTTGGAAAAGCTGGCTGTTAAAGCATTGCACTACAGATAACACCACAACACAAAATTACAAACTACCAAGTTTGGTTCATAGATTAAACAACCATGAACTCCTTCATTAATCTACAATCCAAGCCTGACAGAGGTGTATTGGAAATAAGTTATAGGTAGTGGGAAACTAAAACAACACTGTAATACAGATAACACAGACTAAAATAGACTGTT